AGTCATTGTAAATTTTACTTTGTTGAGTGCCAGATATTTTTCTTTTTTCTATAAAAATTCTTGAGCTTTTCCTGGAAGTCAGTTGAGTTACCCAATTGTTTCAGGTCTTGCTTTTAAGATTTGTTAGACTGTGTCAGAGATGTGTTAGTTTAAGGCTGATTTCTTTCCCAGTACTGAGACAAGAGCCTTCTGAGTTCTCTACCAAATATCTTATGAATTATGAGGCTTTTCAGCCTGAGTGGTGGTAACAGGCACCATTTTTGGCCCTGTGATACCAGGTATGCTTATCTAGTCCCTTCTGGTGGTTCTTTCCCTCTCAAAGCTGCTCTGATTCCCACTCCACTGGATTCCCAACGATGACCCTCTGTAGTTCTCCGACGTGTTTGCTTTTGTGAAGCTCTTTCCTCTCCAGTACTTTGCTTACCTTAATCTTCCTGGACTCTCAGCTCAGTCTTTTCTTTTTTTCCTTTTTATAAAATTAAGGTATCACTGATACATAATCTTAGGAAGGTTTCTCAGGAGCAACACTGTGGTTTCAACATTCACCCATATTATCAAGTCCCCCCCAACTCCATTGCAGTCACTGTCCATCAGCGTGTAAGATTCAGCTCTGTCTTTCTAATGGAAAGAGTCTGTAGTTCTGCCTGGGCTCCCATACCCTGCATTGTGGCCTAAAATTCTCTTGTCACAGAAACTGGGGCGATCATAGGACTTCAGCTTATTTGTTTGCCATCGCTCAAGGATCACTGTCCTTCACTGTGCTCAGTGTCTTGAAAACCATTGTTTCATGTATTTTGTTTATTTTTTGTCTCAGGTGAGAGGACAAACTTGTTTTCTTTATTCTGCCTCTCTGGAATTGAATTCCTTTCCTGTACAATTTTGATTCCATTCTTTTCAGTATCTCCTCAGTGTGGGGCCTTGTGTTGGAGAGGAGGTCTGTTTGTTCTGTTTCAGAGCTCACAGAGGCTCAGACTGTTGCAGCCCCTTCAGCTTTTACCACAGGCGCCTTGCCTTCACCCACTACTTTACTGGACAAACCCCTTCCCTCTCCGTTACAGTGCTGTCCATTTTCCAGTAAACATATTTTGCATATTCTGAGTTCCTCCTGCTCTCAGGGATTATTGCTTCTCTGCGCTTTCTTGACACAGAAGCTGGGAACGTGGAGTTTAGGGTCTACTGGGCATCTGTTGTCATCCACTTGTTTTTGATACTTTGTCACTTAGCTTTGCTGTAAATGTTACCTGTGGGATTTTGGTTTTATAACATAATTGTTCTGCTTATTTTTATAGGGGGATCTGGAGATATTCAGAAATTATTCCACTGCTACTGTTTTTTTCTAGAATCCTGCTGAAATCTCTCAAGAGAAATTTATATTCTTATCACCCGATGCACTTTTGTACTTTAATTTCCACTAACAATTTGTCATTTTTCCTCCTAAATAATTAAGTTCTTTTTCAAATTCTCTCCTCCAAAAAGCTGTGGCTACTGTTTTCTTTTTTTTCCTTCTCCTCCTCCTCTTTCTTTTTCCTTTTCATTTCTTCCAAGAAAATGTTCCATCCTGTCACAACTTTTTACCTGGTTCTTAACTCTTCATTTCTATCAATTTATTTCAGTGGCATGTTTTTCACCATTACTTCTCCAGCTATTTTGTCCTGCCAGTGCAACTGCTCCAAAGGTGTGGAGAAATCAGAAAATAAATGCCTACCACTGATTTAGACATACTAAAAAAGCCAATGGAATTTTAAAAAGTATAGACATAGGAGCAGGACAGTGACAAGTGGCACAAAAGAGAAAACTCAGAGACAGATACACATGTATATGGGGAAATACATATGGGAACTTGTATGTATTTATTGCATCAAGATAAGAATATCTCTTACATAGAAGACACCAAAGACAGATTAATCCAGATGACATATTGGAAAAGAATTTGGGAAAAATCACAATGTTTAAAACCAACCTGAGATTAATATCTCAATTCTATAAGGAATTTGTAGATTTATAAGAAAAAGGTAGAGAACACAATAGAAAAACGAGCAATGTGCATGAAAAAGCAATTTGCAGAAGAGGAAAACAAACAGCTAACTTACAGGTGAAGAGATGCTTAAAATCATTGAGCAGTGCAAGTGAAAAGCAACAGGGAAACACCTCACAGGAGTGTCCGTGTACTTCTGACAGTCTAGCAATTGGTCACCAGCCTAGAACTGGCATGACGGGTACATGAGTGGAATAGCTATGGTGGCAAAAAGAGAGGACATGTTTTGGTCCATGTCCCGAGACCGATCTAGCTACTGCTGCCTCTGCATGTTGAACTTGTCAGCACAGAGACCAGCACTCTGCCCCTGGTAGGGCGCTCTTTCTTGAGGAGCCCGGTGACTGCTTGGTGCCCAGTTGGTCGACCAGATCAGGCCCTGTCCATTGGAAAAGCCACAGGTTCATCCCCATGGGAATGAATATTCCAGGTATGAGTTTGCCTTTCCTGCCTGCAAAGCCTCGCCACAACAGTCTAGGGTTATGGGATGCTTGATCCGCAGGCATAGAATCTCACATAGCAGAGCATTTGACCCTGGGACTCACTGCACAGTGAGCAGAGGTACAGGAACAGGCCCTTGAGCATGGAACCTGCTGGCTGTGTCACATACCGCCCCATTCAGAGGCAGCTTTCTGGAGTGGCCTTCTCAAGGAGCAGCTGGTGTGCTAGCTTAGAGAAGACTCGGAAAGAATAAGCGTGCCATGCTTCAGCATACAGTATATTTATATCAATTCAGAGAACTGTACGTGGTGCTCTGTTCCCAAATAGGAAGAGTCCAGGGGTCCAGGAATCAAGGTTTGTAAATAGGTGTGGCCCAACTGACCACCACTCCTACTGCCTAATTGGAGAATTTTGTGCTTCTGTTCCTGCAACTCTGAGCTCTTCAGTGTTGGAGGTTCTGATCCCAAATAGAGCAGATTCTTGCCAAGTGATACGGCAAGGTCTCACTGAATTGCAAACTGCTGCAGGGCATGTTGGATTTCTTTTGCCCAAGAACCAGCAAGGGCCCAGTTTGTCTGGTGGAGGTAAGTGACTCTGATCAGAAGAGGTCAGGCTGCTTTTACAATAGCAGCAGGGAGGAATGTGGGTGGAACCTCGGAGATGCACTGGGGGCCTCCTGGGCCTCCCCTGCCCTGACAACTGTGAGCAGACATGGGCAGAGGCTGTGTACTGGGAAAGGGCATGACTCTGGAGGGTTCAGGCACTTCAGGGTGATGAGCTGCACAATCCATTAGCTGCCAACACCGGATGAGAGGACCTCTGAGGATGAGGGGCGGTCAGAATGGATAAGGGAGGAGGGAGTAGATGAATTGCAGCCCTGAGATCAACTACAGTGACAGGGAGTGTACGTCATCTGCCTAATGTCCTTCTTCTTAGTTTCCCCTCAGGAAAAGGCCCATGGGAACCATGGAGGCACTGCTCCCCACACTGTGCAGACAAGCAGATCTGTAGCTCACGAGGTGCACGGCGGCAGCCGTGACAATGTGCCTCATGAACCCCCAACCAGAGGAGCACAGCGGACCGAAGGCCCTCCATGAAATACACCGAGGCCACACCCCTCACAGGCTTCTCCCAGCATCAACTGCGTGGCGAGAATGCTGAAATGGGTCCCTCCAGGGGACCCAGGACCCCCAGTGGCTGGCTGGTTTGAGGACTCGCTGAGGCCCCGACCCTTCCTTAGATGGGGTGGTGCAGGCGCAGGACTCTTCTACCCAAGGCTTCTCTCTGACTTGCCCTGGGAGTTGATAGCTTTTTGCCCAAGAACCAGCAAGGGCCCAGTTTGTCTGGTGGAGGTAAGTGACTCTGATCAGAAGAGGTCAGGCTGCTTTTACAATAGCAGCAGGGAGGAATGTGGGTGGAACCTCGGAGATGCACTGGGGGCCTCCTGGGCCTCCCCTGCCCTGACAACTGTGAGCAGACATGGGCAGAGGCTGTGGACTGGGAAAGGGCATGACTCTGGAGGGTTCAGGCACTTCAGGGTGATGAGCTGCACAATCCATTAGCTGCCAACACCGGATGAGAGGACCTCTGAGGATGAGGGGCGGTCAGAATGGATAAGGGAGGAGGGAGTAGATGAATTGCAGCCCTGAGATCAACTACAGTGACAGGGAGTGTACGTCATCTGCCTAATGTCCTTCTTCTTAGTTTCCCCTCAGGAAAAGGCCCATGGGAACCATGGAGGCACTGCTCCCCACACTGTGCAGACAAGCAGATCTGTAGCTCACGAGGTGCACGGCGGCAGCCGTGACAATGTGCCTCATGAACCCCCAACCAGAGGAGCACAGCGGACCGAAGGCCCTCCATGAAATACACCGAGGCCACACCCCTCACAGGCTTCTCCCAGCATCGACTGCGTGGCGAGAATGCTGAAATGGGTCCCTCCAGGGGACCCAGGACCCCCAGTGGCTGGCTGGTTTGAGGACTCGCTGAGGCCCCGACCCTTCCTTAGATGGGGTGGTGCAGGCGCAGGACTCTTCTACCCAAGGCTTCTCTCTGACTTGCCCTGGGAGTTGATAGCTGTCCCAGCCTTACCCAGCTCCCCTCCTCTTTTCTCTCACACAGGCATTTCCCCTAATAAAATCCTTGCACAGTTAATCTTGTCTGGTGTCTGCTTCTCAGAGGAGCAGAACTAACATAACTGTATGTGAGCGGCGTACGCAGGGAGACAGAAGAGCTAAGAATGACGCCCTGATTTGGGACCTGGGTACTGGGAGCACGGTGATTGTCAGGCACGGAGATCAGGAGACCGGACACCTCTGTTAGGGAGAAAAGTCACAAGAGGACAGACTGAGGGCAGTGGAAGGACCAAGGCGGGCAGGCAGCGGTCCCAGGCCAGGACAGCAGTTCAGCCTGTATAGCTTCCTGTTGCTGATGAAGTCGTCCTTGGGTGGGTGGTCAGTGAAGGCCTGATCCCAATTCTCCACATCTTAAGAGGAGCTCCAACCACCCCCATGGCTCAGAGGCAGATATGCCCGGAGATCAGAGACACGTAGCCTACCGTGGGGTTTCTGTCTTCGTCATCTCAGGCTCCTATAACAAAATACTGCAGATTGCGGGCTTTATAAACAGACAGCTGTTGCTCACAGTTCTGGAGGCTGGAAGTCCAAGGTCAAAGCGCAGAGTGGGTTTCTAGGTTACTTTATTATAATAATACAGTATATGATATATATGACATACAACATATGTGCTAATCAAGTTTTTTATGTTTTCAGTAAGGCTTCTGATCAACAACAGGCTATTAGTAGTTAAGGTTTGGGGACTCAATTATTATACATGGATTTTCTACTATGTGGGGGCTGGCACCACTATCCCCCATGTTGTTCAAGGGTCAACTGTACTTGTTTACTGTCTATCTCTTCCCAGGAGGGACTTTTGTCTTTGATAAGTGCTTAACAGCTGTGACAAAGCTTGGCACATTGCATGTAAGCCTTCACCTAATATTAATATTATTAGAATAATTGGTGAATGAAAGCATGCATGCGTGTATGCATTTTAAGATTCTTCTACCAATTTCCTAAAGAGCACATGTATTGATCTATTCTAGTTTTCTAGGGTTTTTTTTTTTTTCCGTCAATTTCTGGCACTTTTAAGACTTAAAGAGAATTCTTTCTTCACAGTCATATTTGTGGCTAATGTACACCCTGCTGAAAACGACTCACCAGGTTCATCGTGAAACCCCTTCTGGGTTTCTTCTTTACCTTTCCACTGCTTTTAATTTTTCTTTTTTAACAGTTCATGACATCTTTAAAAGCTGCTAACATCTTCCCGTTGATACTGATTGCAGTAACTTTTTTAGGTAATGGCAACTTTTTGAGTAGAGGTACGTTTGGTAAATTTGCAAAATTGGGCTTTGGGCAAATAGATTTTTGAGAAGCTAGCTTGCTTCCTCCTGCTGATCTACCTGGGCCTGGCCACCTGCTGTGACACCGCACCCTCTTTTCCTGATGCTGGGGGCTGATTGCACCTGCTCCTGCAGATCAGTGCCAGTGCAGAGAGACACTGGCTCCATGTCAGCTCAGATGCATGCTGCCTGGCCATCATATGGAAGTATGGTGGCATCTATATGGACAATGATGTCATTTCCATAAGGCCCATCCCTGAGGGGCACTTCTTGGCTGCACAGTCTTCTTGGTACTCTAGCAACAGGGTGTTTGGATTCATGTCCCACCACCCTTTCCTGTGGGAGTGCATGGAAAACTTTGTTGAACACTACAATTCAGACATCTGGGTAACTAGGGTCGCAATTTGATGACAAGGATGTTGAGACTGTGGTGCAAACTCAGAGACTTCCAGGAGGTGAACGACCTCAGGTGTCGGACCCTGTCCTTCCTACATCCCTACAGATTTTACCCCATCTCCTATTGGCAATGGAGGTGCTACTATGGAGTCTGGGACCCAAAATTGAGCTTCAACAACTCCTATGCCCTGCACCTGTGGAACTACATGAATCATGACAAGAAGGTTGTGGTCAGAGGAAGCAACACACTGGTGGAAAATATCTACCATAAGCACTGTCCCAGGACTTACAGATATCTGATTCAATGCACAGAGGGGCTGGTGACTGGGAAGCCAGGGCCAGGTAACAAACAGAGCCAACCCTGGGGTGTTGCTAACATGGTGTGGAACTAGACCTTTCTGGAGTGCCACGCTTTCACTTCAGCTCCACTTCTCCAGGGGTGTGGAGCTTGCCCACCTATCAGTTAGGATTAACTTTCTCTGTCTATAACAGAAAAATCCCAAAGACCATTGGTATATAAAATACAGACATTTATTTCTCTCTCATGTACACAAAATCTGAAGGCAGACAATTCAGGGTGTGTATGGTGACTGCAGTCATCAGGGACCTAGGATTCTTGCAACTCTCTGTGCATCGTTAGTGTCCACGTCCCATGGTCCATATGGATGTTTGATCAGCCCATCATGCCTGCATTTCAAGCAAAAGGATGACGGAAGGAGAAAGGGTGTTCCTTTATTTTATGAAGCCCTCCAGCAAGTACCATATAACACTTCTCCTTACATCTCACTGGCCAGACTGTAGCTGTAAGAGAGTCAAGAAAATTTAAGGAGAAAAAGAAAATGGGATAGGCAACTAACAGTTTTTTGCTTATGTTAAATTTATTTCTGTAAGATTAATTCCAGGGTCTTTTAGAGAATGGACTGGGAGGGAAAGATAATTGATTTCTAACCTGATTTTGATATACATTAATGCATTTAGTCAATAAATATTAATTGAGCCCCTTCTGTGTGTTGAGCACTGACTCAAGTGCTGAAGAGACAGCTGGATCAAGCAGACAAGGTCCTGTCTTAATCATTTCGGCTGCAATAACAAAGCGCCACAGACTGGGTGGCTTATCAATAACAGAAATTTCTATCTCACAGTTCCAGAGGCTGGAAGTCCAAGGTCAACAACATGTTTGGGTTCTAGTGAGGATCCTCTTCCAGGTGGCAGATGGCACGCTTCTTGTTGAATTCTTATATGGCAGAAGGGCAAGGGAGCTCTCTGGCATCCCATTTACAAAGGAATTAACCCCATTCATGAGGGCTCCACCCTCATGACCTAATTACCTCCCCAAGGCCCTGCTGACTAGTTTCATCACATTGGGGGTTAGGATTTCCATATATGAATTTTGGGGGGACTTAAATATTCAGTCCATCGTAGGTCCCTAGATCTTACGTCCTAGTGACTGCCCATATCCCCCGGGCACAGTCCCCTCCCCTCTCCAGGGTGTCTGCTGTTCCTCACTCTACCTGCACTGGCTCATAAAAGCCAATTACAAGTTCAAAATTTAAAGCTGCTACCCCTTTTATGGTCACATAAGAATTCACCTCCTCTTTCCAGAGGGTATGATAATTAATATTTTTACCACAGATATTCATCAGACAAGATTTTCCAGTACTTTCCTTTTGGTAGTTTGCTTTATACGAAAAATAGCTATAGTTTCTTCAACTATGAATTTATGATCCTTTTTCAAAGAACAAGCATCCATCCTCTTTCATTCTGATATTTCTCCCTTTGAGAATCATTTGCTTTGACAATTTAAAAATATTCAGAAGTCATGTGTTCTTCCCCACCTTTATTTATTCCCAGCTACTTGCTCTGGATTCTTAGATATCTGACACCATTACCCCCAAAGTAAGACTTTGAAACCTGCTGGTATTCCCCAGGGCTGCCTTCTGAGTTGTGTCTCCAGAGGCCCTGCTAGTTTACAGCTTTCCTGATTGTCTCCACAGGTGAGAATTCTTAGGGTGGGCCCTCTCAGGGAGGAGTAGTGTCACATACATTGAGACACAGTCCCTAAGCAATCCTCTCACCAGCTTATGTGGAGTCTTTCCACCTGGCTGGGATGCCAGGGCCCCATTCTTCACTCTTTCACTCTGTTGTTGACTTCCTTAATAAGTTTTCCTCTCAGACTCTGAAATTTAGGAAACCTCCTAGCCTTCTCCTACTGGGCTCTCAGGACAGGCCCCAGTTGTCTGAGAACCTGAGTAGGGATTCCCTGTGTACCCTGGAAAGGACAGAAGTTCCCCTTTGGGGACAGGGGCTCCCATTCTTCTCCTTCCCCTAAGTCTCTCCAACCTGCTGCCAGCCTGGAGCCACTGATCAGGGCCAGGCGCTTTCTGGGAGAGGATGATGAGATGACTGTCAGAGGAGAGTGAGTAGTGGCTTCACACACTGCTGCATGTGAGGTGGGTTAGGGTTGGAAGCCCCATCAAAGCATGCATAGCAAGATGACACAAATTTGTATTAACATCACAGTATATGGGGCTTCGATGGGACACACTTTTCTACCATCCAACTAAATCTGAGGTATTCATTAATGCATTCAGTCAATAAATATAAAATGAGCCCCTTTTGGGTGCTGAACACTAACTCAGGTGCTGAAGAAACAGCTGGATCAAGCTGACAAGTTGCTGGCTTAAACATTTTGGGCTGCAATAACAAAGTGCCACAGACTGGGTGGCTTATTAACAACAGAAATTTCTATTTCACAGTTCTAGAGGCTGGAAGTCCAAGGTCATGTTTGGGTCTTAGTGAGGATCCTCTTCCAGGTGGCAGATGGCACTCTTCTTGTTGAATTCTTATGGCGGAAGGGCAATGGAGCTCTCTGGCATCCCATTTACAGGGGAATTAACCCCATTCGTGAGAGCTCCACCCTCATGACCTAGTTACCTCCCCAAAGCCCTGCTGACTAATTTCATCACATCGGGGGTTAGGATTTCCACATATGAATTTTGGGGGGACTTAAATATTCAGTCCATAGTAGGTTCCTAGTTCTTACATCCTAATGACTGTCCATATCCCCTTGGCATAGTCTCCTCCCTTCTCCAGGGTGTCTGCTATTCCTCACTCTACCTGCACTGGCTCATAAAAGCAAACTGCAAAAACTGCTACCCCTTGTATGGTCATATAAGAATTCATCTCCTCTTCCCAGAGGGTATGATAATTAATACTTTTTCCACAAATACTCATCAGACAAGATTTTCCAGAACTATCCTTTTGGTAGTTGGTTTATGGGAAAAATAGTTATAGTTTCTCCAAATATAAAATTACGATCCTTTTTCAAAGAACATCCATTCATCTCCTTTCATTCTAATATTTCTCCCTTTGAGAATCACTGCTCTGACAATCTTATAAAATACTCACAAGTCATGTGTTCTTCTCCACTTTATTAATTTCCAGCTACTTGCTCTGGATTCTTAGATATCTGACACCTTTACCCCCAAAGTAAGACTTTGAAACCTGCTGGTATTCCCCAGGGCTGCCTTCTGAGTTGTGTCTCCAGAGGCCCTGCTAGTTTACAGCTTTCCTGATTGTCTCCACAGGTGAGAATTCTTAGGGTGGGCCCTCTCAGGGAGGAGTAGTGTCACATACATTGAGACACAGTCCCTAAGCAATCCTCTCACCAGCTTATGTGGAGTCTTTCCACCTGGCTGGGATGCCAGGGCCCCATTCTTCACTCTTTCACTCTGTTGTTGACTTCCTTAATAAGTTTTCCTCTCAGACTCTGAAATTTAGGAAACCTCCTAGCCTTCTCCTACTGGGCTCTCAGGACAGGCCCCAGTTGTCTGAGAACCTGAGTAGGGATTCCCTGTGTACCCTGGAAAGGACAGAAGTTCCCCTTTGGGGACAGGGGCTCCCATTCTTCTCCTTCCCCTAAGTCTCTCCAACCTGCTGCCAGCCTGGAGCCACTGATCAGGGCCAGGCGCTTTCTGGGAGAGGATGAGATGACTGTCAGAGGAGAGTGAGTAGTGGCTTCACACACTGCTGCATGTGAGGTGGGTTAGGGTTGGAAGCCCCATCAAAGCATGCATAGCAAGATGACACAAATTTGTATTAACATCACAGTATATGGGGCTTCGATGGGACACACTTTTCTACCATCCAACTAAATCTGAGGATGGGAGACCATGGCTTGCTCCTTTTTATACCTCAGGCACTGTCATTATGCCAGACATATTGTCCTCCATTGCTAACAAGGTTTGAAAAAATCAACTGCAAAAAACAAAAGTCAGATAGATACCTTTCCAAGACCTACTGGAAATTGCTCTAGCTTTTGACAACCAAGCAAAATAGTTATAATCTCTCCAAGCAGAATCCATGAGGATTCATTCAAGGTTAGAAAGAAATGTTTTAACTAAGTCTGAATATAGGGCCAAAGTTAGATTGAGCAGGAGTTCAAAATAGATTAGTGAACAGACTAAATGAAGCCTAGGTATCTATTTTTTTTCTAATTGTACTTTATACAAAGAGTATTCTCATGGGGTTCTGGAAAAAGATGGTGGAGAATGCAAAAACCTCCTCCCAAAACACATAAAAGAAGAAAATACAGCAAATATAACTAAGCCTGAAAACAATCTAAACACTGCAGAACAGACTACCTACACATGAGGAAGAAGAGAAGACCACACAGAAAAGAGTAAAGTGGCAGAGCCAAGATCAAGAGCAAGACTCAAGCCCACACCACAAACCCAGCTTAGAGGTGGGAGAAAGAGAAATGGAGCAGGGAGGGGTTAGGAGCCCAGGAGCACTGCACACCTGGCCCTGGAGATCTGCCCCGTGATCATGAGCCCACACTACATTGGGTTTTGGTGATTGGCAGGGATGGATACTAGGGACAGGGGAACACTCAGAGGCTGAGACTCCAGCCAGTGTGGAGGACAGGCATGCTCCATCAATCCTGAGACCCAAAGCAAAGGTGGCAGTTTGAAAGACTTGACCAGTGGGAGGGGTACCAGAGGGGAGAGGGTTGGATGGAACTCTCTCCTCAGGAAAAAGGGTAGATGGAGAATACTCCCCAGCCCTTCCTCAGCCCAACAAACTGGGGACTCTTAGAAACCCCAGATGCTCCATTCTCCTTTACTGGCAACTCAGCCCCAAGGCTCCTCCCTGCACATGCTGCCAGGAGCCAACCCACTCAGCAGCAGTGTCAGAATTTGCTGTCTGGCAGGCAGAGGGAGACTCTCTCAGTTTCCTTGGCTCTGTTTCAGCCCAACTGGGGAGGTGCCGGCAAGACCCAGCCCCAAGAGCTCCTTCCTCCCTGAGGGTGTCCAAACCCTGTGCTGCGCATCCAGCCCAGGCAGAGCCCACCCACCCCACTTATCCCTGCAGCCCCGCCATTGCTGCAGGC